GTGAAGCGGTAGTGCCAATCGCGCATTTGTTATGTTCAAATGATATAATTTTCATCGTTCGTTAGTGGGATATATAATTGTGTTTTAACACAACTGTACGATTTTAAATAAAAATCTTAAGAAGGTCTCTTAGCGCCTGCCGTTCAAACAGCGACATGTCTTGATCATTTATTTTTATGTTCGCTTCGTGCTGTAACAATGAATTTTTTGAATATCAAAAAATTTACGTTGATAATCGCTGTCACAATGACTAGTTGCCACAAACCAGCCAGTGTAATCRTTAMGACAGCGTGGGCGCCATCTAGAGGGTAAACATTACCGCGATAACAGTGAATTCCCGCCAAAATATAGCTTAGCTTTGATAGAGCTATGCTGAAAAAAATATAAAGTTCAAATTATACTCGGATTCTGTTATATTTTAGGAAATGAGCGCATTATTGTGCGATTTAAGAATCCTTTCCATGAAGTTTTTATATTCTGTGCTTGTAAACAATATCCTTCGAATCGATAWATGTGCAAACATTAAGTAATAAATGTTGAAGTCATTTCGTATTTATAGTGTGTTGTTATGATTTTCAATTTTAGTTTGAGTAAATGAGCTTGACTGTACGAAATATGAACGATGTTTACATGTTAAATAAATGCAAATCTATTTATATTGCGAGCGTTGATCGAATGTCAAAAGGCGCGCTACCGGAATAATGCTGAGTGACAGACCAAAACTTTATCGGTGTATTAAATGATCGGTACCGTACGAAATGAACGACATTTCGACCTTGATTCTCGAATGTTCATCTATTTGAACTGTCTATAGCGGAAATARATTTATGAAATCGATATTTCATGAACGTATCTATTGAGCAAGTACGCGTAAAGATTACCATTTGAAGGCGAACTTGTTTTGCATAAACGCTAGCACYAGCGGGATTGGATTCACAACCAGTTTAAAAYRGCGAAATATTGATTCAATGAAGTGTTAAATAAAACTCCATTTGTAAATTCTRACTCCTATTAAAGTACATTCAGTAAATTCACAAACTCAAGCATTCAATAAAGTGAATTACTTTGGAWATTTACGACTTATAGTCGGCTCTTTCTCGATTATAGTCAGTTATTGAAGTTACGATTTTGATTGACTGATGTAAAACCAAAGAACGTGATGATGATACCGAGACGGAATAACGCCGACCGTGTTTCAAAAAAGCGTATTGAAATATCGCGTGACCTAGCAAAAAAAAACCCAAAACGTGTTTGAGAGTAATAATCATTCTNTAGAATTGCCGGAAATTGCCACTGATTAATATCGTCTAAAGAAATCAAATTATCTGAAAGTGAAATCTACAATGTCTAGCCAAGAAGTTTAAGTCCCAGGTCCAAGAATCTAGCTAGCCCTGTAGAAATGGACCCGGTACTTCCTGCCTGTACCCGAAGCATGAAGGCAAACCAGGAAAAAAAGGCTCCAAAAGTAGGTACTCGGTTAGCCTTGACATATCCAAGACAATTCAGCGAATGCTAGGAATCTTTGTGCCGATTGGTTCAGGTAAGGGTTGTCAAAAATACGTAGGGGAAGAAAAAATGAAGTGATGAAAAAAGCTTATGTCTCTCCCAATGTTATCAAAGTATCTTAACTTTATAACCCTATGCCGTGTCAAATCCTTTATGATCCCCCTTTTTTATGGACTTGAAGTGCTTCTAATGTCTGTGATTTTTCCCTTAAATGAAATAATTTTATTGCGCTTTTATCCGATTTTGAATTAATCCTGAATTTGTTTTATAGCGCATTATCGAAAATGAGTAGTCAATAATCTACTACTATAAAATTATTTCATTTAAGGGAAAAATCACACATATTAGAAGCACTTAAAGTCCATGAAAAAGGGGAATCATAAAGGATTTGACACGGCATAGGGTTAAGATACTTTGATCCTTTACATTGGGAGAGTCATAAACTTTTTTCATCACTTCATTTTTTTCTTCACTCCCTCTACGTAAGATTCCGAGCATTCGCTGAATTGCCTTGGACATGTCAAGGCTAAACGAGTACCTACTTTTGCAGCCTTTTTTTCCTGGTTTGCCTTCGATGTTTTGTACAGACTTTCATGCCTTTTGCGACGGATACATCCAAGTCAAACATACCAGCTCGAGCTAAAATGAGATCACGCTCCGTAAGACGTCCCCTTGAAAGATGGAGTAAAGCCAGTTGTCTTTCCTGGTTGTCTTTGGAGATCCTCATCACGCTCATTAAGACAGAATAGCCCCAAAATTCCTCTGGAATCACCGCATTCAGAATATATTACAGAATGGCGTTGGAAACAGGCCATGTCTACAGGGCTAGCTAGATTCTTGGACCTGTGACTTAAACTTCTTGGCTAGACATTGTAGATTTCACTTTCAGATAATTTGATTTCTTTAGACGATATTTTAACCATATCCCCATAAAGGGATGTTTATCCCAGAAGAAAGACCTTCGGTTCGGAGTACCTCAGGGATCGGTGCTCGGTCCGCTGTTGTTCTCCTTATTTTTTGCTCCTGTTGAGGATGTCGTCCTGGCTCATGGACTTAGTGTCATGACCTACGCGGATGACACCCAGTTGTACTTATCCATTGGTTCTGGTGAAGATCGTACGTCTGATCTAGCGAGGCTGGAGCTATGTGTCAGTGACGTCCTTATTTGGTGTACGAGAAACGGACTCTCCTGCAATCCTGGCAAGACTGAGGTTGTGCATTTGTCATCTTGTTTTAACAGCCATCTAGTCCCTATCTCTGAAGTGCATTTAAATAGCNGCTGGATCTCTATCTCTTTCAATCTTCAAAGGCTTAGGTCTAAACTCACAGGCAGCCCACCACTTGGATGATTAATTTTATCTTATTATTTTCTATATATTTTATAGATTGAAGTGATTTTTATAATACAAGTGAATATATGTTCACATAAGTTGTTTCGCCCAATGATAGGGGACAAAATTGTTGTATTTAGATTCTTAGTGTTCTATATGGAGCTTGCACGAACAAAAGTCTCTTAATAGCTTTGCCTGGTTTTAAACAGAAATCAATTTGGTTACTTCTGTATGTGAGTTCAATATTCAATCAAGGTTTTTTCTTGCATTTTTTGTCATGAATTTGTGATATATAGGCCAATTCCAGATGATTCCATTTTGAGCACAATAATTAAAGCAAAAACGTCAACAGTCACTACCAAAACCTACTGTTTGCAAGATTTTAGACAAGTCCAAAGGAAGCATATGAGACAATTACTTTGTTCAAAGTTTAACTGTTTCTTAGGCTCATCTATCCCAATGTGCTGTGATGCATTATACCATATGACCTGGGTTGGGGTGTGCCGCTTGGACCTTGACCCAGTTCCAGGGTGAAATCACTGAAAACTACATTGTATACCCAGTGTTCCAGAGTAAAATCACTGGAACTATACCCTGTTCCAGAGTAAAATATATATAAAATGGAGCTGATTATTTATTAAATGACATGCAAGTCAATGAATTGTCTGAATGATTTGATTGACCCAACACTAGCCTTTGTGTAGACCAAATTTTTACCCGGTAAATTTTTACCCAGCATAGATAAATCCAGAGTAAAAAAATCACTGAAATTGATACCCTGTTCCAGAGTAAAATCACTGAAAATGATACCCTAGTTGGCGGCACTTACATGCATACATGTACATAACTTAAAATTATCAAAAATGTTTTCAAAAAAGTGCTCAACTTTGTCMAGGAGCATTAACAAGATCTTTAACAAGCACAACACCCTCAAACTCAACTATTCCTGCATGCCYAACTTAAAGTTCATAATCTCGTCACACAACAAAAAAGTACTATCAACAAACAACACCAAACAAGTACAAACAGAC